TATCTTCAGCTTCAGGAGACAAGCCCCTCTCTCCGAGCGCCGAATATCAGCTGGAGCTGATGTCCCAAACCCCTCTCTTCTCTCTCTCTGTGTGTGTACCGCACCACTACATTTTACACCACCCATTAAAATATTATTAAACACGAAACTATCCGCACTAATTAACACCCCTCGCAGAACTTTCCAACAATTAGAGCAATGCCGACCGACGGACCGACGAAAAAATGTCTATCCCTGCTTCGTATTTTATCAGCACCAAATTGCAATTACATTATTCAATAGTTTTTGAAAAATAAAGTACACCTATCTCCGACTTACAAGTTGGATAGATTCCTGAGAAAAACGTGTAAATCGAAATTGTAACTTTTTTAATGTAAAACCGCGTAAATCGAAAAGTATGCAAAAAACGCATAGGTTATTTATAAAAGCGAAAACGTGTAAAGAATGTACCGTGTGAAACAATGGATAGGTATTTTATCAGTGCCAAATTGCATTTACATCGTTCAATAGTTTTATAAAAATAAAGTACATCTATTTCCTGATTTATACGGTAGATAGATTGCTGAGAAAAACGTTTAAATCAAAATTGTAACTTTTTTAATGTAAAAGCGCGTAAATCGAAAAGTATGCAAAAACGCATAGGTTATTTATAAAGGAATGAAGGATGGGTTAGTTTTAACATTTATTATTTAATTGAATTTTTTAAACCGTGTAATAGCGAAAACGTGTAAAGAATGTACTGTGTAAAATAATGGATAGGTATTTTATCAGTACCAAAATGCATTTACATCGTTCAATAGTTTTATAAAAATAAAGTACATCTATTTCCCGATTTACACGGTTGATAGATTGCTGAGAAAAACGTGTTAATCGAAATTGTAACTTTTTGAATGCAAAATCGTGTAAAAAGAAAAGACGTATTTTTTTTAAACCGTGTAAAAGCGTAAACGTGTATAGAAAGTACCGTAAAACGAAGGATGGGTTAGTTTCAACATTTATTTTTTAATTTATTTTTTTAAACCGTGTAATAGCGAAAACGTGTAAAGAAAGTACAGTGTAAAACAAGGGATAGGTATTTTATCAGCACCAAATTGCACTCACATCATTCAATAGTTTTGGAAAAATAAAGTATATCTATCTCCCGATTTACATGGTAGATAGATTCCTGAGAAAAACGTGTAAATCGAAATTGTAACTTTAAGTATGCAAAAAACGCATAGGTTATTTATAAAAGCGAAAACGCGTAAAGAATGTACCGTGTGAAATGAAGGATGGGTTAGTTTCAACATTTATTATTTAATTAAATTTTTTAAACCGTGTAATAGCGAAAACGTGTAAAGAAAGTACTGTGTAAAATAATGGATAGGTATTTTATCAGTACCAAATTGCATTTACATAGTTCAATAGTTTTATAAAAATAAAGTACATCTATTTCCCGATTTACACGGTAGATTGATTGCTGTAAATCAAAATTGTAACTTTTTTATTGTAAAACCGCGTATATCAAAAAGTATGCAAAAAACGCATAGGTTATTTATAAAAGCGAAAACGTGTAAAGAATGTACCGTGTGAAATGAAGGATGAGTTAGTTTCAATGAGTTATTTAATTTAATTTTTTAAACCGTGTAATAGCGATAACGTGTAAAGAAAGTACTGTGTAAAAAAATGGATAGGTATTTTATTAGTACTAAATTGCATTTACATCGTTCAATAATTTTATAAAAATAAATTACATCTATCTCCCGATTTACACGGTAGATAGATTGCTGAGAAAAACATGTAAATCAAAATTGTATCTTTTTGAATGTAAAACCGTGTAAATAGAAAATACGTCTTTTTTAAACCGTGTAAAAGCGAAAACGTGTATAGAAAGTACCGTAAAACGAAAGATGGGTTAGTTTCAACATTTATTTTTTAATTTAATTTTTTTAATGTAAAACCGCGTAAATCAGAAAATATGGAAAAAATGCATAGGTTATTTATTAAAGCGAAAACGTATAAAGAATGTACCGTGTGAAATGAAGGATGGGTTAGTTTCAACATTTATTATTTAATTTAATTTTTTATACCGTGTAATAGCAAAAACGTGTAAAGAAAGTACTGTGTAAAACAATTGATAGGTATTTTATCAGTACCAAATTGCATTTACATCGTTCAATAATTTTATAAAAATAAAGTACATCTGTCTCCTGATTTACACGGTAGATAGATTGCTGAGAAAAACATGTAAATCGAAATTGTAACTTTTTGAATGTAAAACCGTGTAAATAGAATAGGCGTATTTTTTAAACCGTGTAAAAGCGAAAACGTTTATAGAAAGTACCGTGTAAAATGAAGAATGAGCTAGTTTCAACATTTATTGTTTAATTTAAATTTTTTAAACCGTGTAAAAGCGAAAACGTGTAAATAAAGTACCGTGTAAAACGGTAATGAATCAAGAATCAAGGATGTTAAAAAGTAATAGGAATTGACTGAGAAATTACAAAATTAATCATAATTCAATAAAATATGTTTATTTAAATCATTTTAATTATAATTTGAATAAGTTTCAGAATTTTATTATTGCGAATGAAAAAAATGAATAAAGAAGATTCAAAGCTTTTCTTCTGAAAATTGAAAAAAATATATATAAGTTCAGCTAAAAATTCTGAAATAAATTAATTTTATTAAATAATTCCATATTTCTGGTATCTGAAATATTGTAGTTAATAATTACACAAAGATTTCATACTTTTCTTAACAATTTAAATTTCTTAGATAATATTTCCATTATTGAACTATTTTAAAAGTACTTTAATCTACAAAGATATATCCTAAAAAAATCGTGAAAACGTACAAAAAATATTCAAACTTAATTAATGAATGCATTATCTTTAGTATTATTAATAATGTTGATTTTAAATACTTTAAATTACTACAAAAATTCAAGTAAATATGTTTTTTTTTATAAAAATAAAATTTAAATAAAATGATATTTTTGTTAGAAATCATTTTTAAATTTGAATATACCGAAAAAAAAATACAATTTGTTATTTTTTTGTATATATATATATTGTACAGATATGAGTGTATGTATTCCTATTTGTTCTTTTTTGGGACGAGTCGATACTCTCTCTGTATTTGACGCTTGGGATTGAGCGCTCAGAATGCGGTGGTTTGGATTCCTTTCAAGATGATGACACGATATGGAAAGGCGATATCGAAAAACGTTTCCACTTTAGCGAGTGTATCGTTGGGATATCAACACTTTACTTTCGAGGAACGTCGTTTTTCGGTGGTTCTATGTGAATTTAAAATCATGAGGGGTTGAAATACGCGACGGAAGAGAAACACAATATATATCTATATATATAGGGGAGGTTAAACAACAGTGTGGCAGATCGAGACTTTTACGTGTACGACAAATTTAACATTGTATACCAACAAACTGTTACATATATTCCGTTAAATTAATTTATTTCAGAAATGTAACAATTCATTCGAATGTTTGTTATGAATTGGAATAATGTAATAATAAAAATTATATTTTCAATAGAAAGGATAACTTATATTTATTATACGTTTGGATTGGACTGGATTGGACAAAAAAATATAAACGATAAATTATTGTTAATAAAAATATGTATTTTTAGTTTAATTTTATCATAATTATATGTGTTAAGAAATATACTTCTTTTACATTAAAAACGATTTAGAAACTTAATTATTATTAATAATAATAAAAAAAATAATAGATTGACAAATTATTTCATTTATAAATGATTACTTTCTATATATTATAAAATCGACTAATAATTAATAAACATTAAATTAAGAAAATTTGTATTCATATTTGTTGAAAAATAATAAACTTCATATTTTTTATTGTTATTTCTCAATTATTTTCTTCGCAAATTATTTGACTAATTTTATAGTTGTTGCATTACATTTTTTTTTAAATATTTAATATAAAATTTGTATTAGTTATGGGTCAAAATGTTAAACTTACGTCAATAATGGTGAATGTTTTAATTTAACTGTCTGCATATTTATTGGAATGTAAAGGAAGAAAGGATTTGTTGCGTGCGCGTGAGGGAAGGATAATGGCGGAGAGAGAGGGAGATAGGTTTAATTGGATTTGCAATTGAATGGGTCTGTTATTTAAATTGTAGATTAGTAATGAATGAAGGATTATAATGTTGGTAATATTGAGTTATTGTTGTAGGTGGAATTAATAAATATAACAGCAAAAAAACACGTACAAACAGATATATAGAGTGAGCGTGAGAGAGGTAGAATGAGAGAGAGAGAAAGATAGAAAAACAAGGTGGGATTTGTGCAGGCGGGCGTGCAGAAGAAGAGTTGCATGGTTTTATGATGAAGTGATACATACTCAAGTCTATATTAGATATAAGTTATTTAGTAAAATATTGAAGTGGTGGTCGTGGAGGGTAGTTCCGAGGAGAGGAGAAGAGGAAGCGAGAAACTGCAGTGGCCGCTACCCAGGGGGAGGGGTGTAGAGAAGAGGAGGGTGGACACGGAGTCAAACCTTATTTCCACCGCTAAAATGTTTGGGGGTAGTAAAATATCTCCTTACAGATTGACTTCATGTACACTGCGATAATACGGGCTCCGGCGCAGCCCCCTCGCCGCTAGGCGTGTTATATAACCGATGGCGGGCGTATCCGCGCAATACTATACCTACCAATCACAGCGGCAAACATCCTACCCCGAACCTCCTTTGAACCAATGAAAAAAGCATTAATCTCTTTTAAAAATAGAGCAACGTGTAGCTACGCAACCAAAAAGGACACGCATACCTTCCACCACTCAATGTCCTTGGCCATAAGGACCGGAATAATAAGTTTGAACATATTAAACATGCACTTGAGTTTATAGAGAGAGCCAAGTCACAGCTTCACCAAAATGAACGAACCCCCCACTACAGTGTAATACGCCCCGCATCGTCAACACTTAACCATCCTCTACAAACTTCTTTATTCCATCAACATCCAGCGAGCCTAGGCGAACCGAGGACCTTCGCGCCTGCACTTGCCTATACAATTCTGGCTTTGCGTGCAGCTCAAGAGGCGAGCAAGAGTGTTTACATTCGCTATCCAGACGGCGGTCAACTAACATCCATCCGCTGCATCAGGAGCATAACCATTGAAGGATCAGTATAAGAATTGAAAGCTGAACTGATCGAAGAATAGTAATAAATACTTAGAAGAAGGAAGCTGCAGGACTCGAACAAAAACAAAAACTGTGTGATCCAGTGTGATGTGTAGTGCGAAGCCACGTGTTCGTTAAAAGTGTGTTAACTTTGCAAGAACGACGCGGACGCGAACGTTCGCGTCTTCCAAGTTACCACGACGGCGTCGCCAGCAGCCATGACCCAACACAGCGACGCTTCCAGCGACCGCTCCGAGGTGTCTGTGACACCACCGCCGCCGGTCTCCAAGATGCTGGAGTTCGCCAGCCAGCAGAACCTTAGTTTCCTCAACCTGGAGCACAGAAACATGCTAGCAGCACCTTTGGCCGCCCTCCACTCCATGACTGAGATGAAGACGCAACCGCATCTGACGGCCGACCACCTGCACAGCCAGGAAAAAAGTGACGCGGATGTCCTGTTGGAGCGTACAAGTTTGCACGTAGAACGCTCCAGCTTGATATCAAGGAGTCCTCTCGGTGCCACCTCGAACAGTAACAGCTCGCAGGGCGCGAATCCTCACGGCATCGACCACATCCTGTCGAGGCCGTCGCAGGTGACGACAGGGCCGCTGCACTTCCCGCATAGCATCAGCTTCTCTCAGAACTCGCTGGGGATGGCCTCCAACAACGCGCAGGGACCGTCGAACTCCGGCTTGAGGGGCTTCAATATTGCCGCCGCCGCTTTCTTCCATCACCACGCCGCCAATTCGGTGAACAAGCCGCCCGTAGAGTTGGGTCGGTCCGCCGGCGGACTCTACTGGCCCGGCTTCCAAGGTCTCGTCGCCAATCCCATCGCCTGGAGGGACAGATTATCCGCAAGTAAGTACAACACAAACGCAAACAATTCCATTTACTTACGGTTAACCCGCGACAAACAAAGATGCCGCCCCAATTTGTTTGATCAAACAATCTCTTACCAGTCTAACCAATTCGAATTTCACACGTGGTTTCATCAAAATTAATAACTTCCAACCCCAAACCCATACAACATTCAAAACTATACCTGTACATAATTCCTTAATTATAAATCATAAATCATCTTATTCTAATACCAAATATTACAAAAAAGAAAAATGAAGAGACTGAAATATAAATTGAAAACCAATAAATTTTATATTATTTTCACATACTTGAATCAAAATGAAAAAATTAAGGTGAAAGCCAAACATTAAAATGTCTGATTTAACTAATAGGAAATCTTATTGTAGACGGAATTAATTCAATGAATGAATACTTAAAACTATAATTTATTTGAACAGTGCGGTTTTAAGATATTTTCATAATATAAAATAGTAATTTATTATTTATAATTATAATTCGCACTATTATTAAGAAACATATAGATAATAAAATAATATTAAGTCTTTATATTTTAAACTTCAGAAGAAACCAAAATAAAATAACATACATTTAAGTTTAATATTATTACAATTAAATCAAATAATTCAGATATTTTTTTACTATAAAAAATTATCTTATTAGATTTTAGGAATAATTATTTATATTTATTACTAAAAATTAATATTTAAAATTAATGTGTTATGAATGGAATGAATTTCTACGAAAATTGCATTTTATGAATGAAAAATGTCTAATATTATAATTCATTAACTTAAGAATTTATTTTGCTTTTCAGTGAAAATTATGTAGAAATTATAAGTAAATAAGTGAATTTACTTATGCTGAGTTCTAAGATTAAAATAGCCTTAAAAATATACATTTATAACTGTGAAGAAGATAGATTGAAAATGGAAATTTAGAAGAATGTTAGTTACTTAAATGATTTGATTTATTTAGTAATAAGTAAAGATGGTTTAAAGATCAAAAAATTAATATTTGTTCATGTGATTGAATGAAGAAATAATAGAGGAATTGTATGTGGTTAAGTCAAAACTATGAGTAAATCAAAGCGAGAGAAAAAGAAAAAAAATGAGAGAAGGAATGGCAGAGGTAATGCATGCCAATTGACTTGAGGTTAACCCCGAGCAAACAAAGATGCTGCCCCAATTTGTTTGGCCAAACAACCTCTTACGTGGGAGATTGCATTGGATCTCGCACGTGGCCGGGATTCCCCAATTACTTCCACAAACAAATCGAAACAATGCGGAAAACACAAGGGATGAAAATCCTTGCCGCAGAGCATCATCCACAGAGTATCATGCGGAGCGAGATCAGTGGAAGAAAAATGTAAGAAAGGCGAGAGAAGAGAAAGAAAAAAAAAAAGAAAAAAGAGGAGAAAAGGAAGGAAAATGAAAGGAAAAAGGTAACATAAAGCATTTTAGTGGGGTGGGCCAACCGGTACAAATGAAAAGCCGTTTCAACCTTTATCTCGCACATAATAGAGCATCCTGCCTTTATGCCCTTTTTTAACAGGAAGCTTCAACCACCCCAATTCATAAATCTACGTATTTAATCAAACGCAAAAGGAGCCAATAATGATGCCCCGATATATATGTATATATATAATCCTGCAATCTCCACCGATGCGAGGACATTTCAACCCGGTTTTGAATTATTCCGAATGTCCACGGCCGACGTATACTTGCGTATTGTAATATATGATGTAATAATGCCGTCGCCATATGCGCCTCTCGGCGCGATAACAATATTATTATTGATATCTACAAATCAGCTCAGCTCATGTGTCTAATTGCATTTAATGAAGAAACACATATGCCACATTTTCCAACATCCAAATAACATATCCATACAAATATAATTACAACGCGATAACGGCAATTTTAATTATCCACACGTACATACCTCAACCTCAATATCGTACCACCCCAACTATTACTATCATCACCTTTTATTTGCTCTATCCTCAACCGAAAACCCTTCGAGCGGAAAAAAACACATACGTGTAATCAATCAAAAATTTTCCGTTCTGCAACTTATTGCACACATCATTTGTTACCAAATAAATTAATATTATGTAATAAACAACCAATAGATAGTGGAGACAAAAATGAGCAATAATAAATGTTATTAATTAATGCAACTGCTATCAGTTTGCGTAATCCACTTCAATACATATGTTAATTAATTATATTAATAAGTTCATTAACATTTAATTAATTAACACTTTAAAAATTGAATTTTACAATTTGTATATAACAAAAATTTCTATTAAATTTATTGAAAAATTGATATCCATTGATTTTAATAAAATTAAATATGAATGAATCAATAAAGTGAATTCGGATCGAATTGCATAAACTAAAATTAATAGAAAAATATTTGTTATAGTGTTATAGAAATCAATTTGATTACAAATACATTTATTGGTCAATAAATAATAGTAATAGATTTCATTTGTGTTATTTTTTAAACGACATATTAGTCATATTGATATGAAATTCTGATTAATGCATTGAAATAGTGACTAAATGTATTAAAGTATATTATTATACAATTACTCACATATTTCTAAGATTGCATGATTCAGTGAAAATAAACAATAAATTATTAAACAATAAATTTGCATACGATTGTTTATGAATAATATCACCTTTTTTTTGTATACATAAAAAATCAAAATATTATATGAAATGTTGATTTAAATTCTGTAAAGGGTTGAAAATTGAAGGAGGGTTAATTGCTAAATAAAAATAAAAAAAAGTGTAATACAATAGTCCTGTGGGTGAAAGCTGCCATTAAATTAATTTAAAGTGTCCCAGAGGTGGAACACCACAAAATATATATATATAGAATATACCAAGTTTCTTCTATTCGCTTTGCGAAACAAGTATAAATATTATTTAGGTTGGAGAATTTCTTATTTAAAATAAAAGGGAGAGTAATTGAGTTGAAACTTTCATCCCTTCAAGTTTATTTACCTTCCCGCGGGGAAGGATAGCGGTGATTTATAACATTGGCGGTCTTAAAACAAGAAACAGTACGAATCGCAGACAAAAATAATAGAGGGAACAATCTCTTTGATGTGTGTTTTTTGTTTGTTTCGTTTTTGATGGAGGAATCTAAGGTAAACATGTAGTTTGGAAATCCCCTGTTTCCGGATGGAAAATCTTATGTGTGCACGCCTCTGGCTAATAGGAGCGGACCGGGCTCAAATTGGGTATACGTATAATGGCCGTTGACGTATGTGTTATTTGTTTGGCGCCATCTGGCAGCAGCGTTATTAACTTGGCAAATCAAACAAACCCCGACATTAATTACCAGGATCAGGGATATGATCAGGATTGGCTACGGTTGCTTTCGACGCCCGCCCTGATCAAAAAATGTCGACATGGACAACAACAGCAACAGCAGTAGCAGCAAACAACAACATCACCCAATTATCCTCTTTTATTAGCCCATCGCACGAAGAACCGTAAAAACGAAATTAAGACTACCACCCTCAAACCTAATTGATCAATAACTTATTTATACAGCCTATAAAAAGGGCAGCAGTTTCATTACAAACAAGTCTCTTTTCTTTGCTGCACATGATGAACATTATTTTATGAAGGCATTTCTGCACAAAACATGAAGATCGTGTTTAATTCAAACACGATCAAAATTATGTTTTATGGGATCGACGGGGGAGGGAATTATTACGGCCATTTGTACATCTTCTAGTCGCACCCCTCGATCCACTCAATTTGCACACCTATTTAATTGGACTCGTAAAAGACGCCATCAAAACCAGTAGCAATGATCTATTCATTCAACCGGATTAATTACTCCTCACCGATCTTTGTAAACGAACACAAACATAACTAAATAAAATAAAGCATTTTTTTAATTACTTTTAAATTAATAAATAATTTTCTCATTTCTATTTGGATTAAAATATAAGGTCGTATTTCGTATTACTGATGTTTATAAATCTACAAAATTAAAAAAAAAACAAATTTTATATACACTTATCCGCTGATTCACACGGTAAATAAGTTCTTGAAAAAAACATGTAAATCGATTATTTTTAACACTTTTTATTATATAAATTAAATAAAACGTGTAAATAAAGTACCGTGTAAAACAAGGGATTGGTTATTTTCAATATTTATTTGTTTTTTAAAACATGCAAAACGAAACCGTGTAAATCGGTATTTGTAATTTAAATAATAATTGAAGAAATTTTGTATTATATACCAAATATTATTATTATAAAATAAGTAAAAAGGTTTGTTGAAGTTAATATAAGCAAAAATTGGTAATAAAATCACGTGGAATTGTGTAGGAGGCAAAATTGCGGAGAGTGAAAAGGATCATGGTGGAATGTACGAATCCGGAATACTAATGTTCAGTTTAAGGATGTTGCCTCTCGATTTTTGCCGTTATCCAAACGACGCTTTATTGAGATTAATTCCAATAAGAATTGGATCATTAGTGAGAGAGAGAAAGCTTTTATTATATAAAAGCGTATCCAGTTGTTGTTGGGTTCGCTTCGATTTTTAGTCGTCTTCTGGGAGAACGAGGAGGATATTAATCCATACATAATAATGCTTTCGGAGCGGGGGCCTGCGAGATGATGAATAGTTATTAGGAATAACGTTTGAAGCTCTCTCGTCGGTTACATAAGTTTGGGATTGCTGTCGGCTGGGATGAGGAGAGGGATGGGAAGGTTCGTTCTGTGTAAAGGGTGTTTGTGCGATGAGAGAGAGAGAGAGGGATGGAAACGGGAGAACGGGAGGCGGCTGCTGCGAGGCGGGGGCCGTAAAAGCAGTTGCCTGACAGCACATTTAATGTTGCTGCGATGAACAAGTAATTCACTACAGTAGTCTTCAATTAGTAAAGTTGGATGCCGTTATGGCGTTGCCACAGTTACGACGGAATACATTCGGGGGCGGCTGTGGCTACGACGACGTCCTTTTATTTAAGTAAATAAAATTGTTGTTTGGGTGGCGGCATCTTAACTTCTAAACAGTTATTGTCTCGGCAATTTCAGTAATTGCTGCATTTTCTTTTTGTTTGATTATATAATGTATTAAATTGATTGATCAATTTGTTTAAACTAAAATAGAAAAAAGAACACTAAGATTTGATGCGGGTGGAGACGCCGGGTCGCTTCTTTTATATATTTATTTTTTTATCCCGGTGGAGGAAAGTATGTGCAAGGAAAGGGATGTGAATGGAGTTGTTATCATCAATTTATCTTGCGTATCAGTTATATGGGAACGGCGGGGGGTGGGCGTCGTGTCTTGTCGTGTAGCGTCGTGTAAAACAAGCAGCTACAACGTAGCTGATATTTCTGCGGTCGTTTCGCAGGAGATGGTGGCGGCGGCGGCAGCGGCCGTATCCTAGCAACAAGCCGAGGGTGATGGGGCGGGGGGCGGTCGTAGGGGTTTCTCCGAGGAGAGGGCGCCACGTGAGCGCAGCCGCCCCCCGATCGAGCAAGCTGTTTAAAACAAGACACCCTGTTAGAATAATTATATCTCGAGATAACGGGGGATCATGAGATTATCCACTTCGACCGCCCCCCCCTGTACCGCGCCTTCGCTCCGAAATATCTCCCCGGAAACGCAAACAACCCTCAAACAAGAGAGACAAGGAAATGAAAAGAGGGAATCCAATCAATTTCACATCCGCTCAATCACGTCGCCGCCGATCCGTGCAATAATAATAATAATTTTTGAGCTCGATGAAGATAACGCTTCTCGCTCATCTGGGGGATGTTTTTGTGCCTTATCTTAATGGCGGACACCCACTTTTGGAGCCCATCAACAATTTTGGATGCGCGGATCTGCATACTCTTTACGCGCTTGAATGTTATGTATGGATGTGTGCCTTTTCGGCTCCGCATATTGATTGCAAACATCCGTACAACGCATACGCAATAAAATCATCAGTTTTTTATTGGACGGATTATTGAAAATCCTTTGCTGACACCGAATGTTTTATCATCCGAACGGCCGCCGCCCCCCGTTCGTGTATCTTTTTTTTTCCCATCCTCGGCGCTTTTCAATTTTTTTTATATATTATTATTATTCCACCCCATTTCTAGCAAAAAGAGACAAGAACCGTAGAATATAAAATCCACATGGACAGCTACATTTCAACTTGTTTTATACGCTTAAAAGTAATTCAACACAGTTAGTTTTTTTTAACATTGACAATCACAAGTCTTATATAATATTTTCATACTTCATCTAAACGTAATCTAATAGAATTTACATATACAAAACTTATACTTCACCAAATTTCCACGTAAAAAATAATTATTTCGCATAAAAGTAAAAATATAAAAATTATTATAGTAAATACAGTATACAATATACTATTAATAATATACTATTACTTATATAATAAATAACGTTTTTCTACTTTATAATCTAAATATATTTATTAGAATGAGTATAACAATTATATACAATTATGTAATATTTTGATAAAATCACATACACAGGAACAAATCTATCGATTAAGTTCGATTCTGAGTATTTCCGTAAACGCAGACAATGATTGTGTATTTTCTCGAGAATAAATTAATTTTATGTTACGTAATTTATTTCGTATTGTCCAAAATACAGAGTAGCATTCATTTACTTTCGATTCATTACTAAAACGTAGTTCGTTTTAAGAAAAAAAATACTGCTTTCCAAAGTTAGAAAAACATATTTATTAAATGAAGTAAAAGTTTCTAAAATTGTTATAATCGTAATAAACACTTATAATCAATAAATTGGTGAGACATTATTTACTTATAAAAAATATTTATGGGTTTTTACATAATACAAACTTAAGAAAATAATACAATAAGAAATAATAAAACTAAATTGAATAAACAAAAATAACAACGTTTATTGTAATAATTATATAACAACACAAATGAAAAATTATTATATAAATATTTGAAAATATTATTTTTTGTTATATTGGAACGAATGGTATTTGGAAGGTTGTTGAAATTGGAGCCGGAAATAGTAACGTCTTGCATAGTTTCGTTATGCGTTTTCTATATTTTTTTTTATGCGTGGATAGCGGAACGGTGATGATAAATGTGAAAGGATGAGGGAAGTATAAGGTGATGTGTCCTATAGCAGCCGATACATTTATATCGTAAAAGATTCAGACCAGATGTCTATATAATAATCTATATATGCTGACAACGCAGGGTATTGCCGGCGATGGGCCGCAAGGGACGTATAAGCTCCCTGAACAAATTCAATAACACCTCGATAGCTTCAGCTTGCAGAAATTCAGTCGATTGGTAAACCCCCTGCCACCGGAATCCCCCCATCCACCACCGATGCCCAGACTCTATACTATCCTCTATATCTCCTCATCCTACACCTCCAACTCCGCCAACCTCGAAACGCTAACGCCTGTTCAATACCCCCAAGCATTATTTAAACTATTCCTTTTTCGCAGGAATGAACCAACGTTCCGGACTACCCAATCTCGATTACTGCAGTAAGTTATCACCTAATTTTCTAATCGCTCCCCAAGTGGCGGCATCTTTTATTTGTTCGGCTCTGAACTCATCTATTTCATCTATTTGATGAAAGCTACCAATCTAAACCCTATCTTTATGCTCGTTCTTTTCCAGTGAATCAAGGAGGCCTCAGCGTCGCATCCGACAAAGACGCTAAGAAGAAACACACAAGGCCGACATTCTCTGGACAACAGATCTTCGCTCTGGAGAAAACATTCGAACAGACCAAATACCTGGCGGGTCCTGAGCGAGCCAAGCTTGCCTACGCTTTGGGGATGACCGAATCGCAAGTCAAGGTTAGTTGAACACCACACCTACATCTACCTCAGCTTCCCTTTGTGTAAGGGATGAGAAGCTTTTAGGGTAGCAAATACGACACTGCTGCCTCTGATGCCGCCCTTCACGCTCACTTAGTGATTTCATTAATTCTAAACATATCGTTCCACACGCGTCGCCACCGAATTACTCACAGGGGATTTAACGCCGCTCTATTTTAACCCCAGTATGTGCTTTAAGTTAATCGGATTAATTTCGAAACGAACCGATATATTGCGGTACACACAGACTAATCGCGCTTAACGCTTCGTGGATTTCACTTATTCCAATTTTATAATTACTCATTTACATAATAATCCTTCCAAATCAAGTGGAAAAATACCCGAAGAAAAGTTACAAACGCGCAGTGATTATGCATTTTTTTCTTTTCTTTTCTCATTTTTTTTTATTCGCTTCTCCGAAGCCAACTTAATTAAGTCCATCTTTAATCTCATCCACGGATCTCATTATATTTACGTTACTTCTTCTATCATTCTTTAACATTACGTCATCATTTATAATTGCTTACCAAATTTTCAATTGTAACAAAATTATATAAATAAAACCATTTTCTTCTAAGATATAATAATAAATTCAAATGACATTTCGTGATACAGATAATAATAAAAAAATAAACATTTGTTTTAAATTAATTCTATTTTTATTATTTATTAATAACTGATTAGAATTGAATGAATGAATTTCATATCGATTATAGTTTAAAAAAAAACTGTGTGTCTATATATTTTTTTTATGAATATGATATATTTGATGTCATGTTGGTCTTGTGACGTTTATAAGATTCGAATCAAGTTAATGGAAAAATATAAACGGCGTTTTCCCGGGGCGAGATTCCGATAAAAACATTATAAATTGTGGTTTATTGGTTGACGGGGCGAGTGTATAGTTTTAAGGGAGGCCGAAGTGTTTCTTGTTATGGCCAAGGGGTGGGTGTACTTCTTGCATGATGTATGGTTTCGAGGAGGGTGTGCGGCTGTGCGCGTATAATCTCCTGACAAATTGAATTAGGGGCGGCAGCGGCGAAGGGTGGGCGGCGGAGCCGCAGGGGCGCCACTTGTTTATAACAAACATGCACCTAAACATTCGTCACCCACAACCGTCGATTTCATCAAATACTTTAAGCCCCCAGCCCCACGCTGAAAAATGGGGCGAACAACAGCAGCAGCAGCAGAAAAAAATTGTATACGGACAAAAAAAAAAGTGGAGAGACAGACACACATGTGCCATCTCGAAATTAATTAAGCGAAGGGTGAAACGAAAAAGTAAATACGAAAGCGGAGACAACGCTTAGGGATGGAAGAAAAGGGGTGGTAGGTCGACAGTTTTAATTAAACGTGTAAGAAAGATAAAATTAATTTTTAATTTCTAATATAGAAGCAGATGAGATCTTAAAAAGTACAACGACTCTTTCTTTCTTTATATTTTTTTTTGCACGCTCCTTTTCGCTTTACTCGTCTTCGTTGGTTTTTTTTTGGGAGGGGGGAGGCATAACAGTTTGTCCAGATTATTTTTTACTCCTGGTCCGTTGGGTCCCTTTTAGTTAATGAAGTAAATTGCGGCCGAGGTTTAAGTGGCGAAGGGGTGTTGCTCCCTCTTTACACGAATCAAAACTTGCTTCCTTTGCGCGCAGCGTGGGGTTGCTGCCGCCGCTGCTGCTGCTGCAAGGATTTAATTTACAAAAATGCGGAATGTTTTATGATAATAAAACGGCGCTCAGATTAAATAAAAATGCTAAATAAAAAGCTCTCTTGAAAATTAATAAGTTAGCGGGGCGAAAGAGAGAGAGAGAGAGACAGAAAGACAGGGTGGGTGAGAGTTGGGGGTTTGGTGGTGTTTTGCGAATCTCGCAGGGAGAGTTTTTTAAATTTCGCAAAGATAAAATCTGCATTTCATTTCTGCTCATCCTCTGGCTAAATAGGTTCCAGTTCCTTCAGTTTTACTTCCTTTCCACAACACCTCCCCTCATCGGAGATATTTTGCTTTATTTATACTTTTTCTGGGAAAATTCGGGGGAGTGGGTGGATTTTTCCGGGCTGGGAAAGCCGCGCTTCGAAATGTAATGTGTTTCATGTGGATGTCCGCATGTGGGGGGCGGCGCGCGCGTTTGTGTGTGTGTGTCCCTGCATGTACACGTGTGTTTATGTGTGTGTGTGCGCGTCGTACATGTAGCCAATGCTGTCTATCGGCCAACCAATCCATCATATTGGAACGTATATAGAATTTTATTTTGCGGTGTATCGATGCATTGGTCGGCTCTTCCCGAAATGACGGTTTGATTTATCGCTGACGTCCCTAATCTACGTGATGTTTTTATTATTTGCGAGCGCGAAATGTCCTGTTTTATAATTTCAGATAAAATCGGTATGAGTTACACGCGCAAGCCGCCCTAATCCCCATTCCCTATACCGTTACTACTATCCCTATCGCGCGCGAACCCGAAACCGCCCCCATCGCCTGTGCCGCCGCCCCCCCTGTCCCGTCCCTCGCACACCGTCTCGCCCACCCCCGTTTCACCCTCTACCCCTACACACACACACACATCGGTGCACCAGGCTACGGTATGGAAATGTTGGGTCATTAGTATGTCGTTAACCGTAAACGTAAGGCGACCGAATCGATTAACGCTAAGTGACTGCGTAATTAGCTGTACATGGTGCAATGCATTGTGGTCCCGGATGTTCGCCCTCGCTTGCTTGCAAATTAGGGGCTATTTGTAATTTGTTTTATATATATACACACACACATATCCACACATATATCTCTTTCTATAGAAATACCCACACATACACATGCAAACACACAGAATTTCGCATCTCCAAAAAGGCCGGACCACCCTTACACACATACACAGCACGTTTCCTGTTATTCTAAAACTCTCTAATCGTCGCAGCCCGTTTTCCACGACCGCACTCCAAAATAATTGCCATGCCCCAATTATTTTCGCACCGAACAAAAAAAACATATATATATATAAAATAAAGAGGAAATATCTGCACAAAACTCAGCGAAATTAAATCGAGAATAAAATGAAAAATTTATTTTTTAATATTCTTAATTTCTATAATCTTTTTTCTATTGAAAACGATTCAATTTTATTTATTTTATATTTAGTTAAAATTTACATTAATAACTTAAATAAATTTGCACAATACTTGTACTTTAACAAATCAAATGACAGTTTACAATAGTTATATAACAACAGGGATTTTGAATATGGTATAAATATGAAATGAGACACTTTTTGAGGGCCCCAAATTTTGCGGGGCCGCAGGCATTCGATCGATTGGGTTTAGCGAAGCATTTGTATAACAATAATGTATGATGTAAATATATTTAATTAAAATTATAAAAAAACATGTTTGTAATTGAGGTGTTTCTCGTTATAACTTCTTAGAAATGCTTATATTTCTTCTGTATTTACAAACAGTTTATCATAATGAAATACAATACAATAATTATATATATATATTATTATTTATTACTAATTAGATTATTTGTCATTAATATTCGACGTTTTTTGAACATGATAACTACATTTTTATTAAATTTTATTTATACATTTTTATTGAAGAAGTGGACTATTGACTTAAGTATTTTTGACAAATTGAATTAGAAATCTATATAGTTTCTTAAGAAGTATGTATTAATTTCCAACATAAATAATACTGTCACTTTTTTGTTATTAATAAATATATAAATAAAGTTCTTTTGGATATTTCGAATGCTAATAAATATATTTAATATTTGTAATTAAAATGAGGGATGGAAAAACAAATAAATTCCGGCACAATGAATGTGTATTGCCGTAAAAGTAACCCGTAAGGTAATAAAGCAACGGCCACGCTGTAAATTATCTAACGATTCAATGGAGACGAGCCATAAATAGAACGAGTCATAAACGGGTGCCTATTAAAAAGGCAAGGAAATTTTGGGTTGATTCGTAACGACTGCATCTTTATGTGCATTTTTCTTCTTTTTCATTTCATTGAATCGGTGTTCGGTGTCGAAAGAACTCATAACTTATCGTTGATTAAGATGTTCTAAACGTGTTTATTTCTCAATAACTTTTGGTTATGGACAGATACAGTATTTACAAGAACAAGTAATAAAATAAGTTAATTTTTATTAATTTTATATTGATTTATAGTAAATAAATATATGAAGTATGAAGAATAAAATGAAATACTTGAAAATTTTACAAAAAAAATTAGATTTTTTTTATAGAAAGTTAAGCATTGAATTGGTGATCAAAAAATAGAATGCTTATAACAAGGAATGAAGATTAATACAAATACATAATATATTAAAAAAAAATTACAAATTTTTATTTATTTTTTATTAAGGTTAAGCAATGAATTAATTGAATGGGTGACCAACAAAAATTTTATAACAAAGAATCAATACGTAATGTANNNTACGTTAAAAAAATAATGATATTGCTTAGTTACATATAGACCGTGGTATATAACTGTAATTTTAAGTGGTTGATAATTTGTATTATATTATGATTGATGGTGATGTGTTTAAAAAAAAATAGCGTTTCTGAAAACGAACAAAACCCGAAGACTTCTTTGGCGACGTTTTAAGGGACGCGTCGCGCTTCGCCAAAGTATAAATTCGGTAATAAACGACAGGCGGAGATTTTAATAATGGAGATGCAAAAGCGGCTTTATTGATGTAAAACATTGTTTCTCGCGGGGTTGGGGGAGGATGTCGGGAGGCGCGCTGCCTCCGCCGCGTGCTGTCGTTGGGGGGTCGGGGGTGGTCGGAGGCGGCGGAGGCATTAACTTCGCGGCCCCTTAGACCCCATATTCGGTCTGATTTATAGCCTCGCTATAGGCTCTAAATACCGTGTAATTCGCAAATTTAATATTGCCCAACCCCGCGGGAAGAAAACAAACTACCCGCGCCCGATACGCATCACCCTACCACCTCCTCCAGGTTCGCCTTGTTTGCACACAGGGGTTGAAAAATAAAATAAAAAGACTGTCCACAATAGACACAGTTCTAGGGGAGGGAGACTCGGTCTATAGGGTAGACCGGATCATGAAAAATTTGAATGACAATAGTAACTTAGCCCTTTCCTCTTCCATTGTTGCAGGTATGGTTCCAGAACCGGAGGACAAAATGGCGAAAAAAGCACGCCGCCGAAATGGCAACCGCAAAGCGGAAACAGGAAGTCCTCGACAACCAGACGGACGAGAACAGCGACGTCATATCCGACAACGAGGAGGAGCATTTGGCCAAGAGACCCAACCTCCAGTGAAGCCCCAAAAAAAATTCTTCTCGACAAAAATAGAGAGAGTAAAATGTTTTGTATATAAACTGAAACAGTGTAGTGAACGAGTGCAGATACGACACACACACTAAACCACTTACATGTACACAGACACACACAGAGAAACACATGCAGACATAGCCAGAGACATTTCGTTTTTAGTGACCTGTAAAAATGTTACATATTATATGTATACGCGTATAAACGTTATTCATTAAATTGCAAGTAGGAAAAGGGACAAAAGCCCTTTTCGCTTTGTCGCATCATTCCCTGAGGCGATGGAAACGCCTGAAAAATTTTGAAAAAAAAAATGAAAAAAATCAAAATAAAGGGAATGATTCAATGTATATACGATGTTGATTTTTGTTATTTGTTCGTTTCAAAACTATTATTATTATTATTTGAAAAATATATTTTTGACTTTCATTTTGTTACGCCGTAGTCTTGTAAAATATTAATATTAAAAAGAGAAACTAATGGTAATATTAAGAATATATATATATTAGTGAATAAGATAAATTTAAAGACAGAAAAAAAAACATTACGAGAAAGCCGAGACAGTAAATTTAAATGAATAAGAAAAAAAATAATGAAGTAAAATAAATAAACAACAGTACGTGCAATCTATTTATTATATGACAATGTCGGGGGTTCCGCGCCACTTGTCCAGGGATGAAATTATTTGTGAAGGCAGACCAGATTCTGGTAAGCATTCCCAACTCCGGGACCCCCCGCAAAAATAAATTTAAAAAAAAAAATAAAAAAACCGAAACCTGTAATGTATTATATGAGGATAAAACAATGTATTTGTAATATTTAAAAATAAATATGTTCAAGTGATCACGACAAGCCATTTACTCGTAGTGCTAAGCCGCCCTTTGCCCGTATCGATTATACCTTTATCGTCCATTTTCGATTCATTATGAGCCCATTTATCATTTATCCTCCATTTTTAATCGCAGTACAGCTGATTCTGAATAGAACATGGATGCAACGTCAACACTATTAGGTAAATATAATGTTTTTATTAAGTTAAAATTGAGTTAATTATATAGTTTCAATTAAAAAAAAATGATATTAAATTTTTTATATTTTGTTTTTTAAAGTTAAACATTGAATTGGTGATCCACAAATAAATTGCTTATAGCAAGATAAATACAATTACATAATATATTAAAAAAAAAAAATTACAATTTGTTAGGTAATTATGTTTTTTTATTAAATTCAAATTAAGTTAAGTTTACACGTATCTCTCGTTTTATACGGAACTTTATTTACAAATTTTCGCTTTTACACGGTTTAAAGAAAATTTATTTAAATAATTAATGTTTAAAATATCCTATCCCTCGTTATACACGGTACTTTTTTTACACGATTTAAAATAAAATATATGTTAAATAGTTACAATTTCGATTTACACGTTTTTCTCAGTATAGGAATTTTTGTCATAGTCAATTATTTGTAAATAATATACTATTACAATTTTATTTATACTAAACATTATATAAAGTGGTCGTTAGATAACTAAACTTATATAGTGGAAGATAATCCGTTCAAATTTGCTTCCCGAATTGTTCGTTAACCGAACTGTAATTTGTCTGAATTGTTCGCTGTCCGAACTGTTTATAAAATTATATAATAAATAAGTGCTTGTAACTGCATATTTTTTTAATTTATAAAGATAAAAAGAACAGTAATTACATAAAAATGGCTGAAGCTAAATGTCGTTAAACTAGTTTTTTCTTTCTCTCTCTAATAATAATAGATTTGTTAGCGATGTTAGCAAGAAAGTATGGAACATGTGCTGCCGTTTAAGGGAAGTATTAATAGAATCATCCCCGACGAATCAGTTTCCATAACCTCCCCTAGCAATAAAACTAATGTAGTGCAATTGCTCACTGAACATTGGATCAGAAAGTGAATTAGATTTTGTCGGGATGTAACCGAGAGAGCAAATAGTTGCATCATTGGCGAAACGCTCCGGCTATTTACTTTTAATGAAAACCAAACAAGATGAGTATATTAAAGTTAGTTTTTTTTTGTAACATTTTTATGTTACAAAAAAAAACTTATTTTTACCAAACTGATTTATTAAAATAATTAATCTATTCTCTTAATTATTTGCTTTAATTATAAGTTAGTCAACGTTTATATTAATATTACGTATAATAAACAAAAAATATATTTATATTGAAGGAGTTTTATACAAAAACAGTAGAATCAATCTGTGTCAAACATTTGAAAATTTAATTCTTTTATATAATACAGTTTTTTCTTTAACATTTTTTTATAAAAATATAGATCAATATTGAAAATCTTCAATTTGATTAAAAGAAAAGTGATATATACAATGTAAAAGTTCCGTGTACAATGACACCATTGTACGTTTGTGTGAATATTTTTACGTTAGTTCGGTTAAAGGACCGTAATGTATAAAAACTTTCAACGAATATATGTTATATATTAGAGATTGAAAACTTAAAGAAAACTTAAATATACAATGTGAAAGTTTTGTGTACATTGACACCATTGATATTTGTACGTTAGTTCGGTTAAAGGACAGTAATGTATTTCAACTTTTAACGAATATATGATAAATTAACGTTTATATTGGAGATTGTAAGAAAAGTGAAATATAAAATGTTAAAGTTCCTTGTTCATTGACACCATTGTACGTTTGTGTGGATATTTGTGCTTTAGTTCGGTCAAAGGACCATACACGTAAAGATGAAAAAGTTGATTGAAAAAAACAATTTAAACAATTATTATTTTTAATAAGTTTCTTTTTGTAAGTTAAATAATATTGATTTTATAACAGCTGTAATTCTGGTGTGACAAAATATTATGAAAACTGGTTTACAGCAGCTTCTTTTCTTGAGCTGCTGACTTTTTTGAACGCACCGAGTGTCGTCGGATGATGGATTATAGCACAAACGGTGCCGGTTAATTATAATTTTAATTGCAGATGAAAAATTGTAAGCGGCTTATTAGTCGGGATAATCGAGGACGTGAATATTGGGCCATCTGGTCAGGACACTAATCCATCTGGATGTAAGCCCCATATTGTGTGGACCATCTGACGTATCGAGGAGGAAAGCTTTGCGTAATCCGGGTGACTTCACTTGAAAGCAAGGTATACGGGAGTCCTGTTTGACTTCGATTTGCAGAAAATAATGTGACGGAAAAAGGATCAGGAGGCGGTTGGGAATGGGGAGGCGGAGAACGAGAGTGCGTGTGTGTATGAGAAAAAGAGAGAGAATGAGCGAGAGAAGAGGGTATGAAAAGAGGGGAAAATGGCCGTGTATTGTGTACACATGTAAATCCGCGTTTTTCGCGCAAGATACGTTCGCGTGATTTATCTTCGGCTGCAAGGACGAAGATGTAGATGGAGGTGCAGGGATGCTCAGGCGCCAGGACGTTGCCTTGGCGACGTCGCCATCGCCACACCACCGGCGTCGGCGTCGATCCCCTCCTCGATCCATTATTTCCCTCTATCCGCGAATAAACTGGGATCCCAAGGATGTTGTTTACATGGTCATCGGCGAATGCTTTCCTCCTTCCTGATGATAACCGCCGTTCAGGATAATTGATCTAGCTGAGGAGGCGTCGGGAATTTTGGTCAGATGGCCGTGGACCCTCCGCCACCCCCAGCAACACAATGATAGCTAAAACCCAACCGTTTAACGTTTCAAAAGAGTCAATTTGTATTCACAGTTTAATATAATTGGCCATTTTGGAGGGTCGACGCGAACCCCTCCCGTCTACTTATAGGGTAGCATCAGCTAATAAGGGCGCACACACTCTACAAATTTAATTACACATGTGATTTATATCGCCATCATATCGTTACGACAAGAAGTCTAGGAAAAAATAATATATATATGTGAACAGCAATGGTTTAGAAATATTTTGGATTCATTTTAATTTGCAACCAATTTACGAGATGGATGGGCATAAAGGTGAGGATGTGCGTGCACTTTTTATATTCGGGGCTTTAATCCCCCGTTTCCCCTGGACGAGTCAATGAAATGGCAAAGTTAAGCCAACGGAGCAGAAAATAAGGGCATAATGCAATAGGTACAGCCGGCCTTCTCTTTCTCTCGCACGCACGTTTTGCCGCTCCACAATCCTAAAGACCTGGTCTGCACCTGGGCATCATCAGATTTTCAAATCCGTCTTTCAATAGACTCGAAACCAGAGTCCATTTTAAAACGTGCGGATCCATTGACAAACGACTTCACCAAATGACCCAGCGGCGGCACAACGAACAATATTCCTAACCCAACAGTCCATCAAATTTGTCTCTCCCAGCCCACTTCATTCATACTACACTTTTGTCAACTATCGACACTAGAAATTTAATTCTTAATATAGTCGATTCCGCTTAATCGAGACACAGGTTAATTGTGACAGCCGCTTATTTGGAACAAATAAGTATATTTGTATATTTTTATTATTTCATTAATTATTTAATTCAGAAATATTCTATAATTTGCTACAAACATTTTTAACTAAGTTTTTCAATTCTTAAGAATTATTATTATTTTGAGTATATAATAAACAAAACAGGTTTTTAGTTCTTTCTATATTCCTATTAGGCATTGTTTAACTAAACAGAAATATCTAATATGAAATGTGATTATTCATTTCATTTATCGTATAAATAAATTTGCAATTTATTCAGGCGTTGAGTAAACTGTGTTATTCCTAGGCGCTAAACGAAACAACGTTAAATGAAGTAACATTAACTTATAGCAAATAAGTAAATTTACAATTTATTCTAGCGTTAAGTAAATCGTGTTATTTCTAAGCGTTAAACGAAATAACGTTAAATGAAGTCGCATTGACTTATAATAAATAAGTATATTTACAACTTATAACTTCGTTAATCAAGAAAGAACTAAACGTGGTTTTATATAGTTGTAAATAATCTTTATATTTATAGAATTTAATAATATTAAAGTTTTTATGCTGAAAATTGTATAAGTAAAATTAAAACTTTTTTGAAATTTATATTTAGATACAAATTTTGTACAAATAATTTTATGATTCAACAGTTTTTGCAATATAAAAAAATAAGTATTTTTCAATTTCCTCAAATTGAAAATTCATTCATTTGTAGAAAATTAAAAATTCTATAATAATAAGAATCATTTTCCATTAAAAATATAAACATTTTCATTCAAAACAATAAAACTAAAACAAAAAAGATTAACTGCTATAGGTTTCTTTATAACCGAAATAGTACAGTAAGTAAAGTCTAATATTTTTTAATTTTTCAGTATTTCTATCATTATTTTAACATGAAAGCTATTGTTTGTCCAATTGGAATCCACTTATTTATTGACCTATCAATAATTTTCTTAATTTCTATATAACTTTATTGAAACTTAAGAACATTTCATAAATATCGCGATGATTATCTTTAAAAA